CAACTTGGGCCAGTGAAGCAACGTCCTCCACAACTAGACTGAAGAACAAAAGGACAGCAACTTGTCTGTTCCCCTTCCCTCAATTCCCCAGCGCTGTTCCCATCCCCCAATTCCCCAATAAAAATCTTAAAAAAAAAAAAATCCAAATTGCCTGCCTTCTGTGGCTTCTACAGAAATGTAGCTTACTGACGTGTAACTAGTGATTATTAAACCTGGTTACTTGAAAACAGATTTTATGAAAAAACATCTTCCTCTTCCAACATATACCCTCCCAAGACATGCACAATTTCTTTGTCTACTCTGAGCCTTAAAGATGGCACAGAGTCAGTGGAATGGAAGATTCTGGTGGCTGCAGAAGAAGGAATATGGACGAATCCACTTGGAAGCTAATTCTTGAGCATGGAATTTTCATTCTGCTGTGATTGCTCTGTCCAATCTGATTGCCAAATGGCTCAGAACGTGGAGCATCATAACTAGAAGTCATGAAGGGCAAGACGCTACGCTGGTGCCAGCAGCCTCCCACATCCATTTACCTATTCACACAGCAAATAGTTACTGAACAGCTGTCTACTCCGGGTCGGGCAAGGTGCTGGGATGCCGCGCAGACAAGACGGACTAGCTATCATGAAGTTTGCATTCTGCAGAGATGGATAGATTGTTACAAAAGATAAAAAGGGTGGGGGAGCAAACAGGGTAATTTCAGATTGTACTAAGGGTTGTGAAGAACTAACTAGCCTTGTGACCCTGGGTAAGTCACTGGCTTAACCCTTCTCTGAGGCCCCCAGTGCTTTCTCCTCTGGCATTCACAGTGCAGTTCCTTTAGTCCCCGTCAGTCGGTCCGAGGGGCGTTCTGGGCCCCTCTCCCTTAATTAACCGCTCACCAAAATTAAAACGCTTGCCCTATTATTTCCCGGGAGAGGACTTAGCTCAAAGAATGCAAAGGATGACGAACAGCAGGAAGAGGAGGGTACAGTGGTTTTTCAAAACAAATGCCCAGCCCCCAGAGCCCTAGAGGAGGTTTGGAC